TTTTTTTGAGACAGGGCCTCACTCTGTTTCCCAGGCTACTAGAGTACAGTGGTGTCACCACAACTCACTAAAACTTGAAACTCCTAGTCTCAAGCAAACTTGCTGCTTCAGCCTCCTGAGTAGCTGGGACAACAGGCATGTGCCACCACACCCAACTACTTTTTCTATTTTTGTAAAGATGGGGTCTTACCATGTTGCCCAGGCTGGTCTTGAACTCCTGGCCTCAAGTGATCTTCCTGCTTCAGCCTCCCAAAGTACTAGGATTATAGGTGTGAGCCACTTTGCTCAGCCCTCCACCCAGAATTCTGTATCCAGTGAAAACATTCTTCAAAAATTAAGACCAAAAAAAAAGATGTTTTCAGGGGAAAAAAACCTGAGAGGATTTATCAAGCCAAAGGGAATTGACAGCAGATGAAAACTCAGATCTATGGGTGCCTTAGTCCATCTTCTGTTGCTATAACTGAATATCACAGACTGGGTAATTTATGAAGAATAGAATTTTAGGTAGCTGATGGTTCTGGAGGCTGGGAAGTCCAAGAGCACGGCACCGACAGCTAGTAAGGGCCTTCCTGCTGCATCATGACATGGCAGGAGTCATTACATGGTGAGACAGAGCAAGGGTGGGTGTCAGCTCAGGTCTCTCTTCCTATTCTTATAAAGCTACTAGTCCCATGACTGAGGCCCCACCCTGATGAATTTATCTAGTCCTAATTACCTCCCAAAGGCCTCACCTCCAATCAACATATGAATTTGAGGATGAAGTTTTCAACACAAGAAATTTGGGGGACAAATCGAACCATAGCAATGAGAAAGAATAAAAAGCAGAAAAGAATGGGAAATTTCTGTGTAAATATAAAAAATACAGGTGTTTTATTTTTTTAAATTTTGTAAAGGACATATGACTGTTAAAAGCGAACATTAAAGCATTATATTCTGGAGCTTATAATATACGATGCAAAATGTACGACAACAATATCACAAAAGATGAGGGGTGATAAATGGAACTCTACTGTTACAAAGTTCTTATCTTTTACTTGAAGTGCTTCTGTATTACTTCCCAGTAGATCATGAAGGATACATAT